AAAAAAAAAAAAAAAAAAAAAAAAAAAAAAAAAAAAAAAAAAAAAAAGCAATCAACCGATCTCCTTTCAATTTGAATTTACCGTAAATATCTATGTCCAACTGGAAAAAAGGCCAAAAAAGGTCCTCAAGTCCGAAATCTGCAGTCGAGGAAAACAACAACACAGAAACCAGTTAATCCCCGAAGCCTAATTAACACGAGCGGCGTAAAGAGCCAAGCGTTCTCTCCGAGTCTTCATAAATCCAGTCCTCTCTCTCTCTCTCTCTTTGGGTATATAACCCCTTTTCCCTCTCGTCACCCTCGACATCTACCCCATTATCAAGTCCCCGTCCCTTCGGTATGTACGGCGCGGGCGACAAATTACAAAGGGTGCCCACGATGTCCCCCAGCCCGGAATCGGACTTAATGAAGTCCCGACCAACCGTACAATATACATTATGGCATATATGTATATATGTATATATCTATATACACGCGTACAACCTCGACGCTGCCTATGTGCACCTCTCCGTCTTTTGTCGTCCGCGCGCGCGTTCAATTCTCCTTTCCCGCCGCTACGAGCTCGTGTTTTAAGCACAAAAGACTACTCCCACTTGAGCGTGAACGTCGGACTGCCTAGACGCGTGAGACTTGGCGTTTCAGCTTTTCTCGTTACGGCAAACGTATACAATATGGCCAATGAATGCTGGATCTCGATTTAACCCACGATGGTCAACATCAGTTGAAAAGTTTCGGTACTTGATCGTAGCTTATACTTATCTGATGGAAATTGTTTCGACAACCGCCCAGTATATTTCCATCGAACTTACCTGTAGACTTTTAGTACGACCAACATACGAGCAAAATTACACACTGTACGTGCCATTCGTTGCTCCCTTCCGTATAACGGCGTAGCTATACATACACCTCCTACGCGCATATGTTTGCACAGGAGGTACCCAAAGTAGCAGAGCAAATTTTGACAGTGTCGTATACGTACATGTACACATATGAACGCATGTGGATGATGGTTGAGTATATATTCCTACGCGTACATTGCGTCTCTCTGTTGGACCAGGCGCTTAGCACTTGTGGGTACAATACCTTGCAACTACGTATCGGAGCCCGGGGCTCACATATACAGTGTTGGACTATCGAATTATGACGGCTTCGCTACGGGATATGTGCATTCGTACATTATATCGTATCTGATCGCTACACGAAGGGGGTGAAGTCACGGTAGCGTTGATCAAACGCCGATATCTTGTTTTTCTTTCGTACGAGGTGGGATTACGACGTATGTATTTAACAAATAACCCAATGCAATTATATAGAAACTTGTACATATTGTTTGTCCGCGAATAAAAATCTCCTCTGCATCAAGGGTTCCGAGGTATCATATTGTGCAGTACAAGAAACAGTCATTGAAAGTATATATACAAAGAGCACAACAGAGAGAGAGAGAGAGAGAGAGAAAGAGATCATGTTAACAAATAGGCCTGTCCTTGCCTTTTCCGAAATCCCCGTAATGCGTCATCTATCGGGAGCAGCGCAGGAAGCATCGGAGAGGGCCACGCGGTGTCGCGCGCTTTCCTTGGCCCTCTGCCCTATCTGTCCATCCTACATGTACCATGTATACATTGTTGTTGTGTACCTTTTTTCGATCGTTAAAGAGAGAGAGAGAGAGAGAGGGAGAGTCAATCGAGCGTGAAGCTTTTGTCGACACGCGACTACTAGGTGCCCGTGTACGTACAAGGTATACGTACGTACTGTACACGCGCGATAAATTTTCCCAAAATACCCTCGACTGCTAAATGCGAAAGCTAACCAACAACGGCGGCCGCCCTTGTACGACACGCCAGAGTTTCGGGGATGTCGTACTATATAGGGACACGGGATGCGTGCGTGTGTATATTTGTATGCATCTGTGAGCGTTGGGATGGTGATTAATTTATTGACGCGCGAGGGAGAAAAAGAGAGACAGGAATGCAAGTATACGACAAATGGCTCGTGAATCTGCAGCCGCGTCGCGCGTGCGATCGTTATTTATTCGATCGGCCCGCAATATGTATAAGTTATTATACTGTACGTGCCGACGACCAAGTTTTTCGTGACTTTTCCTTCATCATTTTTGTGCTACTGAGTATGAACGTTGCGCGTAACGTTTCGTCGAAACCTTGATTGATTCTCACCCTCATGGAAATCTAGAGTCGCTCTAGAGTCATTTTCTTGCATAATCCGTAGTACAAGCGAAACGAATGGTCACACGAAAAATTGGCCCATACATCATAAGCTCGTGCTCTCCTCGACACGGGTGATAATGTATTCCCATTCATAGGCTCGGGAGGAGATGTCCAGCTGTGAGTGTCCCGAGTACGTGGGAGGGAGTGCAGGGTAAAGGGCCTTGGGTGATCCAGGAATCATCGAAGGGAGGGAGAACAAAAATTCACTCGAAATGCATTGTCAGAGTACTGTATGATTATATTATATCAACTGCTTTTCTTTAATTTTCTTTTGTTTTTGTGTATTAATTTAAAAAAAAAAAGAAGAAGAAGAAGAAGAAGAAGAAAGCCAACGATGGTCCAAAAATTCTTTTCCACACCCGAGTATAAAATAGTCTACAGCCTTTTCTTTTTAACGTGTCTTTGGACAAAGGGTATGGATACCAAGAGGGCGGTGGAAGAAAAGGTTGATTCTCGCTTTCGCGGGACTTGTCACTTGCACAATGAGACGGAGCTTATCTATGGTGGAATATCCTCCTCCGCCACCTCTCTCGAGAAAAGAAAAGTCGAACCCCTTGAAAACCCACCCCCCTCCCCTTCTACCGCGCCGTTTCGTGTCCTTTTTTTTATACTTGCGTACGTGCTCTCTCTCTTTTGGATGGAGTGTATATTATAGGGGAAAAGGAAGAGGCCAGAGAAAAATGTATATTTGTGATTTATTGGCCCGATTCTACGGAGGAGTAGTTCCCTGCAGAGACAGAGATACTGGAAGAAAGGGAAGAAAAAAGTACTCGAGCTGATACGGTCACATATACATGCCTATCTTGTCGCTCGATTATGCCTGTTTAGTAAACATTTATCCTTTCACCGGCGTCACCCGTCTTTTCACTTTGACTCTATCATTTTGTAAAATAATACCTTTTCTTCCCAATGCATATAAATATATACATGGAATATAACGAAATAACAAAGCCCACGACAATGATAGTAGCGAGCAGTCTGTTTGAAATGTTCTGAGGGCAGATTACGACATGATTACAGGTCACAGCGGGGTCAACCAGCTCGGCGGCGTCTTTGTCGGTGGTAGGCCCCTGCCCGACTCGACCCGCCAAAAAATCGTCGAACTGGCCCACTCGGGCGCCCGGCCCTGCGACATCTCACGCATCCTCCAGGTCAGCAACGGCTGCGTCTCCAAGATCCTCGGCAGGTTGGTCCGCCACGCTGTGCATCGTTCTTCACACCATACATATATAAGTATATATACGTGTCGTGTCGCGCGAGCGCGTGAGAAAAAGAAAACACATACCTACCCTCGATTCACCGAACGTCCGTCTCCCCCATTCACGCTTCGAAAAGTCGTAACTTCTTGGTCGGCCACTCGAGTCTATACACTACATGCGTGCCAGAGACTCTTCTTCTTCTTCTTCTTCTTCTTCTCTTCTTCTTTCGGGAGGGTTTCTCGGGTATATTATGTTCTTTCACGGGGCTGTCGCGTTCGACGGAATAATAATCGGCCGTATAATTTATACGTTTCACACGCGTTACGTGGAAACCCCTCGGCTCGTCCCCGATCTCTCTATTTTTCGGTCGTGAAAAAACCTTCGTTTGCAAAGTGTGACATTTTTGTTTGTTCATACTGAATTTTCATTCGAGGGAAAAAATAACAAGACACGCGGTACTTGCCGATATACTTATATACCGATCTTTTATATCTTTTTTTTTAATGTAGAAGAAAGAAGAAGAAAAAAAAAAGGATGTTTAATGAAAATTTGTGTCTATTGTTGCAGGTACTATGAGACGGGCTCGATAAGGCCAAGAGCGATCGGCGGTAGCAAGCCCCGGGTCGCGACGGCCGAGGTGGTCAACAAAATATCCTTGTACAAGCAGGAGTGCCCCTCGATTTTCGCCTGGGAAATTCGGGATCGCTTGCTGCAGGAGGGCGTCTGCTCCAACGACAACATACCGAGCGTGAGTTTATTCAAATCATCATTATTTTAACCTTTGGTAAAACATATATATATATATATGTATCCGAGTGGGTGATAAAAGCCCAGCCGATACACGCAGGATCGACTAATTGACACCCTCGGAAATTCATCCACCGCGAAAAACATGTACACACGCACACACGCACGTATCATGCGCGTGTGTCATTCANTTATTGAAATGATAATTAAATATATTATCTACCAAATAAAACAAGATTCAGCTGCCAAGAGCTGCCTATTTATCTTTTATGCCCTTTTTTCGAAATCAAATTGATAGAGAGCGAGAGAGAGAGAAACTATAAATTGGAAATCAAAAAATGGCAAGCTAGATCAACTAAGAAAAAAGAATCAGTTGAAAAAAGAAAAACAGCAATCCAAGTGGCATTTAAAAAACAATTGGGTTTGAACGTTGACAAACTAAAACAAGGTAGTGGAACTTCTAACGATGGCAACACAGCACGATTATTTTTCGAACATCATAGGCAATCTGCTCAAATTCTTGGAATCGATCAAGATATTATTTATCGGTTTTACGTCACATTGCAAGCAATTTCATGTGGATATGAAATCGATGTGAACAAATTGAAGCAGTATTGCAAAAAATTAGCTGAAAGTATCGTACATGCATATGATTGGTGTTACATGCCTACCTTAGTGCATAAACTTCTAATTCACGGCTCAGACATCGTTAAACAATCAATACTACCCATTGGCCAAATGTCCGAGGATGCCCAAGAGGCATGTCATAAATTTTTCAACATTTACCGCTTTGCTTATGCAAGAAAAAAGTATCGGCAAAAAACGATGGAGGACGTTTTCAAAAGATAAACGCGGCCGCGTAGCTGGGCTCCCTTTCCGGGCACCTCCTCTTGCAGTCTACAAACTTAAAACTGTACGACTGTAACTGCTTATATTTTTGAAAAATGCCTGGCAAGGCTTGATTTTTTGTGTCGAGCATCTTCCGTTTGTACAAATGTATCTATTAAAACGTTTTTTTTAATTTCTACACATTTAGAATATACCTTAATTTCAATTAAAAGGTAAACCTAACCTTGCTCTCTTATGAGAGACCGTGTTAAACTGACAGTATTTCATAATTTTTTTCTCGAAAATTTCCCCTGGTGAAAAATCTAAAAAAATTCATGTGCACTCCTAATTTGCTCAAATACAAGATAAATTTTTTTTGGCACGTTTCTCCATTTTCAACTTTTCTTCCAAACCTCCTTATGGCTGAGGACTGCCAGTACAGAGCAAACACTTCAGTTGTATTTAATAGACCAGGAAAATTAGATTTAGCATGCATAATACACAGTAAGGTGAAAACTTGATATTTTATATTTTCAACCACGCTGATCACGTAAAAAATAATAAGAAAATTGTGAAAGCTTGGAAACTCTGAGAAAAAAGCTTATTTAAGTTTAAAATACTTATAACTCTGAAACAAAAGCACCTAGCGTAAAATAGCTTAAACCATTTGAAAGGTCAGTGAAAAAACTATAAAATTCGATTATTTGTTTAAGTTTAATAAACGTAAGGTCTCGAGATAATTAGCTGCAAAGATTTGTAAGCAGAGGTAGCTGAGCTATCCTTACCATGCGGCCATGCTTCTCTTAAGGGTCTGTTACTCTGTGCATATATAGTGCACTGGACCGGAGATGTGAGAGAGGAGTTTACTCGACGCACTGGTGGCCTGCCCAGCTGTATACCTATATCTAAATGCACCGTATGCTGTGTGGATATAAAGCAAAAACCGTCTCGGTGGCGCAGTGGTAGAGTTGCAGTCTCGTTGATCTAGAAGGTTAAGCAGAGTTGACCGTGGTTGGTAGTCGGATGGGTTTTTCCCTAGTAGTTTTCCCAGTTACAGGATTGATTATCCTAGCGAATGCAAAACGGAATCCCCTACAGCCTTACTATCTCCATCCCTCTCCACCCCCCAAAGTGCTGATTGCCCAGAGAATGACGTAGTGCCCTATTATATAAAAAAAAAAGAAAAAAAAAAAAAGAAAAGCGTCAAAAGAAAAACTCCCCACCGAGACCCACCATAACACCCAGAAACGCACAAAAGACGCGCCCTCGGCTATACACCGTCCTCCTCGACCGCGTCAACATCAGCAGCATCACGGGGGCAAAGTAAAGTAAGTTAGCTGCCGCGTCCGCGCCAACAAATTAGCCGCGAGGAGATTTCCCTCTTATGGCGCAGTGTAGGTATACACGCACAAACAAGCAAGAGTCCCTCCCTGAAGGCAAGCCAAGAGAGAGAAAGAGGAAGAAAGGATCAAAGCTTTCGCTCCTCGCGCGTACGTATATACAGTGTACAGCTCAAACGCCCGCCCATCACCTTTGGGGAAAGCAAAGCTAAAGGAGTAAGTATAAGGGGAGTTGCCGGGGCTTCTGAACTTGTTGTGGCCAAGATTAACGTTTCTTTAATGGCCCGTGTAATATTCCATTACGCCCCGGCCCGCCGCGGAATTACTTTCTCGCCTCTTCTTCTTCTCCTTTTTCTTCCCTCACCCTTTGTCCGCTTCTTTTTTCTTTGCCCGCTGAAATGCGATAATCTTTAATTTAATCGTCCGGCTGCCCCCCCTCCTTCCCCCACTGTGCTGTATATAGTATACAGTTACCAACACACCATATATATTATGCACCGTGTATAAGAAAGGCTTGACGCTCCTTGGGGGCGTTTCTTTTGTTTCGCGTCGCCATACTTGATTCTACATTTATATGACCGACGCGCTAATTAGCTATGATGACCCTCCTGTTGGCACAGAGACTGTGACTGAATGAACCGCACTCGGTACTTGCGTTATTTTCATCCGATGCGAATGAAAAAAAAAAAAAAAAAAGATATAAGTAATGATGAACCGAGACGATAAGATTTTTTACTCAGCTCCGCAGTCGACTCGCGATCTGTGCGTCGTTTCCAACCTGAGCGGAAGAAAAAGAAGAAGAAAACCACTATCGAGGCAAAGAAAACACGATGAGTAGCGTATAAGTATATAAATATGTGTATATATATATATAATGTATACATGTACGTATAGACGGAGAACAGTCGGCCGCTCGGTGATTGGAGGAAATTTCATTATTCTCCGACATTACCCCCTTTATTGTAATGTCGTCAAATTCAATTCCCATCCCCCCCGCGCCCCAAGGAGGAGATGGAACTTCTTCGCCTGAACTGCTCTCTCTCTCTTTCTCTGACAGTCTGCGCCTGCCTTTCCCGGAGGAACGAGTCGTCTTACTCTCCTCTCCGCTATCGTGCATTTACTTATTCCCTGCCTACCTATCTATTGTTTTTCCTTCTCCGTTCGTACGTGCCGTGGATTGTGGGTCATTCGAATCGAGCTTGGCAGAGACAATTTTACCTTTCTTTTTTTCTCATACGTAATCGTGAAAACTCGAGGAAATGCAAAGTCGACCGTAGAATACATATTTATGCAGACGCACTCACCCATACCGTGTGTGTAATATGTCAGTGCGCACGTGGGACTTGTGCCATTTTTATTTTATTTCAACAACCAAGTAATGGATTGTGTATGTAAATAAACGATTGGCTGGTGAGTAATGATATTGAACAACCATCCGTGCCCCAATCGTACTTATTATCCGTTGATCGGTACAATGGGTCATCTCTGTACAAGTACATCTACAGTATACTGGAGGACTGATTATTTTGCAATCAATCGCCGTGCCCGCAAAGTACCCCAACTCGAGCCAGGATAAATCCAAAACTGCTCAACTTCTAATTTTCATGGCGTTGGTGTCTATGTATAAATATATAAAGCAACAACAAAAGGAAGAAAGAACGTTTGAGCCCCATCATGTGTAGGGCCGAAAGAGACGTCGGATAAAATGATTTTCCATCTGTACTCCCGCATCTAATGGCGTGTCAAATCCGCAGCTATACGCATACGCACGAGCCCCACAGAGTATATATCGAAGTAGAGCAACGGCCTTTTCACTCCCCATCGTATTATATATGTATCGTATGCATATATGTATATATGAGTCGCGTGTTCCACACCGCACTGGATTTAAATTTGGCATAGACGGGCGTCACGTGTAGGTGTGGCTTCGTGGCTCCGCACACCTATACCCACTGTATGTGTATGGGGCGGACGCGTTATTGGTTTACTCGCACCACTGAATTCGCGCCGTCGTTTCTCTCTCTTTCATCCGCTCCTTCCGGGGAGTTTTGGCGCGGCAACCGATCACTGCTTCCTCTTTGTTCTTCGCGATATGAGCCACGAGCGACGATTTTTCCTTTCCCACCTTTTGTGTACACGTGTATGCATTTTTTTTTTTTTTTTTTTTTTTTACCCCGTTGGNACCGCTCAGGTATACAGTGTAATAGGCGTCATACGTTACTAGAGCATGTAGACCCAAGTGGCTCAACGAAACGATCTAATCAACTCGCCATGCGCGATCATTTTTTTTTTTTTTTTTTTTTTTTACTCTTCATCTGTAGGTAGAATCGTTTTTGTTTGCTGATCGTACTTGAATTTCGTTTCATTATTTGTTGACTCAAAATGACGCCTTATAGTTGTTTCCGTACAAATGGATGTACATAATTCTGTTACTGGGAGGTGCACTATTTTCACAGTCAGTTTCGACTGTACTACTCGCATTGAATTTCTCGATAGTCCGATACGTTCGAATTCCATGGAGACGAGACACCCCGTTTTATATGGTGCGACCACAACAATGCCGATCCTCGAAGCGGCAACGACGGCGATTCCATACGTCCCTCTACATGCCCTGTACTCTCCTTTGCGTGCACATTATGTACTTGTTTCCGGATTTTCTTCTCCTTCTCTTCTCTAATTGTTGATTTCATTGCAGTACATCTGCTCAACCCTAAACCAATTGCTCCAATGGGTGCTCTCCATAGTGTCGATGCGTACGAAAAATTTACGATCCTAATCAATAATCCATTCAACGACCACGAAAATCATTGCCATCGCGCAATCACTATAATGT